CCTCAGCCAATGAACCCCAAATCCAGAGTCGCTCAGTCTTGCCAGGGTTTAGTTTCAACCCGTTGTTTGCCATCCAGACCCTAACAGCCTCCAGGCACTGTGAGAGGAAGGATATGGCATCGCTTAACTCTTTCTTTCTGTTTTCGTTAGCAAACTTTAGGAATTAAGACTCTAGGAATTTGGGGGAATAATGTGAGCAAAATATTTGACAGTGTTTACAATCATAGTACATTTCAGCCTGGGATCCTTGATTTATACCACTAAATCCTGCTGTATTATACCTGTACACCTGAGATAAGAATGCCTAAAGTGAGAAACAAAGAAAGAAAAAGATAGTATAATTTTGATTTAAAGGATGCGTATTAATTTTCTTCCCATGCTCTTCCGTTATGTAAACTCAGACAAGAAATCTAAACCAGAAAACAAGATTTTGGTATGGTTTCAGCTTAGTGTACTTTCCTCCAGGGACATTTTATGAAAATGTAGTCTACTGGATAAAACTGTAAATCTATTAAACTAATATAGGGAGAAAATGTTTTATAGATTACTTTTATAAGAATAAGTTAAAATAAGTTCTTTTTCCTGTATTTATGCCAGAGGGAAAATATTTAAGGACAGATAATTTTGAAAATACTTAAGCATTTGGATCTTTATCCAGAGTGGGCTGCTGCAGGTTCGGACTCGTCTGCCTGAACCCCTTGTTCCGATTCTGCATGGTTCAGAGAACCGGCAAAGCTGTTTTCAAGCCATTTTTCAGGCCTGAAAAAAGGCTTGTTTTTGAGCTGTTCTCAGGCCAGTTTTGGGGCTGTTTTCAGGCTGATTTTGGCCGGAAACACAGCTTGGAAATCACCCAAAACATGCCCCCCAAACTCCCCCAAAATGGCCTGAAAATGGGCAGGGCTGGACTAGCCAGTGATGGGATTAGTGTTGTGGTTAGCCGGCAGCAGGTACAGACAGCTGAGGAGAGCGAGGACTCGGATGAGGGGCCAGGACCATTAGGAAGTGGATTGCTGCCTTCAGAGATTGTGGGGGCTAGCAGCAGTGATGAGGAGGTTCCTGAGGGAGCCTGTGCTAAGTGCACGTGCACGAAGGATTGCTCAGAGGAAAGAGCAGTTACAACAGCATGGGCGACTCAGGAGTAAGGCTGCAAGGTAATGGCCCCTCCTTCAAAAAGATAAAAGCCAGCTGTGAAATTAACCTTTGCAGAAGGCAAAAAAGTTTTCAACTCAGCCTCGTGGACATTACAGCTGGTATTTGAAGACTCTTGTAAACTATTTCTTATCTGTTGTTTTTTGTCAGACTTGAAAAAAACTTGGCAACGCCAAGTTTAGTTGGAAGCGGCCTTTTATCTGTGAAGAAACAGGATTCTTAGCTGAAACTTAGATTATACTGCTGCCTTTGTCTTGTGTTTGCTTTCTTGGAACCAGGTTTGGGTCCGAACAATTAGGCCCAACTAGCTGAATCCTACTTGTTCCTTTGAGGCAAGTGGCCGGGAGGCAGGGCTGGGTGTGATGAGTGACATCACCTACCCAGTCACATGGCCCACCACTACCTTTATCTATTTTGAAAATTTTAAAAAATAATATCGTAAGCCCTGATTATCTTTCTTCAAAGTATATGCTATGTTATTTTTAGAAAGATATCACTGAAAAGTTATGCATTTTCTCTGCTAAAGCTTTCATTGAATTCTGCCAATGCTCATATGGTTCTTTTCTCCCATCTCCTTCTAATTTGTTTTTACACTATACTGTTTTACCTAAATGCTACTTAGATTACTCCATAATTGTGGCCCTAAATAACAAATGTGTGCTCTCTTATCCATTATTTTTGAGAAACAGTAATAAAAAGAAAATGCCAGAGTAAGCCTGCATGAATATTCAGGAACAACACTGATATTATATTTTTATGAATATTTTTGGAATGTTAAATTGTAATGGATGCAAATATAAACCATCATATATATTTCATATAGACCTTTTATAATTTATCCATTAGCTGGATAAATTTCTATCACTTTTATATAATTTTGGTAAAGTTCTTAAATCTTCTAAAGCAGTGGTTGTCAACCAGTGGGCTGCAGCCCATTGGTGATCCATGAGAAAATTTTGGTGGGCTGCAGAGAAATGTCCCCCCAAAGCAATTAATCCACACTGCACCCACCTGCTGGCTCCCACCTTTCAGCCGAGCGCAAATCTGCAAAAAGCAACACAGCCCTCACCAGCCAGGATGAGGTAATGTGCTGTTGCAGAAAGAGGGGGCTGGCGGCACAGGCAGGCTAAAGCAGTGATGGAGATGACCGGAAGGTGCAGGAGCACCATGCTACTTGCATTTGTGCAGCACTTCCACACCTTCCAGCTCGCCTCTCCTGGCCTGGGGTCTACCTCAATGGCTGCAGGCTGTAGGGACAGCCCAGGAAAAGTACTGGCTGGTGGTGATGGGAGGGGGCGGAGTGGGCAAGTCTGCGCTCACCATCCAGTTCAGAAGTCCAGAATGGAGCATCAGTGTCAGTTTCCTTGTCCCTCTGGGTCTGCTGCCGCCTCCCCCCCGCCCAGCCCCAGCCGTTGCTGCCTGGGGAAAGCATAGGAAAAGTGAGCAGAAACATAGTTCTCACTGGGGCGAAAGAGTGGAGATCGAGGAAAGCACAGGCAAGAGAAGACGGAAGCTGCCGCCTTTGAAAAGTGCTGCTTTCTGTTGCCTGTGCCTTCCAATCTCTGCTTTTTCTCCCCAGTGAGATCTCTGTTTCAGCTTGTTTTCTTTTGGGGCGGGCAGCAGGGATGTCAGGGCTGCTCTCCCCCCTCAGCAAGCCAGGCCTGGAGGAACTTGAAGAATTGTAGATGAGTGCCAGAGAAAGGCATGTTGGAAAAGCCAATACACATTTCCAGCACGTTCTGCTCTGTCCCGAAGTAAGATTGAGTGGGTGGAAGGGAGCAGGGGGAAGGAAAGGAGAAGCCCAGTTGGCTTTCTTTTGTCATGGGGGGGGGGGGGGGGGG